GTCTAATTATATTGCGCTATAAACTTCCTGAAAATGGGATTCTGAAGCAGGTGCAGCTGCTGCAACTTGCTACAGAGAATTGCCTGCCCTGCTCAGCTTATTGCCAAGGTAATTATTTAGCACTGGGAAAACCTTCATGCTGCAAATCACAAATGTTGCCTTCCTCTGCCCTGGGCTCGAGGAATTGGTATTCTCTTGGCGGCAATCCCTATCCAACTGAGTGCTGAGATGAGTGGAAGGCCATTCTGGTTTCACGCCCGTTCACCCAGCAGGCAGACACTGGAGAACAAAAATTGGTGCCATTGCCTCTTCCTGCATCTTTAGAGGGACGATAGGGCAGACTAAGATATCATCCGATCAAGCAAAACCATTTATTTCCCCAGGATCTATGATTTCAAGCATTTGAAATTCACAGCTTCCTCCGCTGTTTCCTCCTCTTCCTTCCATGGGGGGAGTTGGTGGTCTGAGATCCATGTGTAAATGTCGGGAGCCCAGCAATTGGCAGTGTAGGAAAATCTCTCCTTTTGTGTTTTTGCCTGATTGAAGGTGAGGCATCAGCAATAGATTTATATTAACAGATACAACGAAAAATGTCTTACCATTGACATAGCACTTGGTTCTCTCTGTACTGGTCTAGAGTGAGTTCAGGTGTCTTGCAAATCAAGTTACCTCTTGAAAATGCATTTTTAAGGAGACGCAGGATATTATAATTTAACAGCATTCGTTTAGTCTACCTGTACCAAATCTGAAAGGGCAGATCATATAGAAACCACAAAAAAGGAATTTAAGGCAGATTTGTAATCACAAAGTGGCACTCACATGCTTAGGATGTTTCAAAGTACACTACAGGTAATGAGTCTCTTTCTGATGTGTAGTCTAAATTATTATTAATCCTATAATCTTGTTGCTTTCCAACTCCCCTCCTTTTGAAATATTTATTTGTTTTCCTTATAATGTCTTTGTATATTCGAAAGTGAAATATTGAAATAAAATCCGAATTGATCTATAAATTAATCTGGCTACAAAAAAGCAGATTATGTGAAGTGGTGAACGAGTGATCCAGAACCCTTCTCTAAAAGTCCAGAGAGTGTAACTTGAAATTAGACCATTATAGTCGTAAGAATTTCAATTCAATTTTAAACAGAAAATGAAATGACAGAGTTGGCATCAGTGAAAGTGAATGATTCACTCGTGTCCTTTAGGGAAGTAACCCTTCCAATCTCACCTGTAAGTGGCTAAAATCAGATTATTCTGAACTAGCCTCAGAAGTGCCCGAACAAACCACTCAATTATGTCACCGTGGTCTCATGGCAACCACAGATGAACGGTATTTATCAGCCACAAAAGGGTTCGTGTACATAGTTCTTTGATATTTGCGTCACAAGTAGACAGAATGGTTAAGAAGGCATTCAGTATGATTGCCTTCATTGCTCAGACCTTTGGGTATAGGAGTTCGGAAGTTATGTTGAGGTTGTACAGGGTTGGTGAGGCCTCTTCAGGAGTACTGTTTGCAGTTCTAGTTGCAGTGTTATAGGAAGGGTATTATTAAACTGGAGAGGGTTCTGAAAAGATTTACAAGGATTTTGCTGGGAATGGAGGGTTTGAGATATAAAAATAGACTGGAAAGACTGGGACTTGTTTCACTGGAGTGTAGGAGGTTGAGGGGTGACCTTGTAGAGGTTTATAAGACCATGAGGGGAATAGATAAAGTGAATGACAGGGATCTTTTCCCCAGGATGGGTGAGTTCAAATTCTTTTAAGGAGAGGAGAAAGATTTAAACAGGACATGAGGGACAACTTTTTTACATAGAGAGTGGTTCATGTGTAGAATGAACTGCCAGAGAAGTGGTGGATGCGGGTAAAGTTACAACATTTAAAAGACATTTGGATAAGTTCATGAATAAGAAAGATTTGGAGGGATATGTGCCAAGTTTAGGCAGGTGGGACTAGTTTAGTTTGGGAACATGGATGGTGTGGACTGGTTGGACTGAAGGGTCTGCTTCCATACTATATGATTCTGTGACTCTACGACTGTGGATGCTGGAGATCTGAAACAAAAACACACATTGCTGGCGAAACCCAGCAAGTCTGGCAGTATGTGTGGGAAGAAAGCAGAAGCCCTTCTTCAGAATTGGTGTCTGTGGGAGAGGGAGAGGACTCCTGTCCGAAGAAATTGGCACGAGGCGATGAAAGAAAAGTTCAATGTCATGCCTAGCCTGAAATTCGAGTTGTAGAAGCTTGCGTTCCTGAAAGGAGGAGAAAACGTTTCTTGTTAGAATGTCAAATGAGCCAGAGAATGAAGTGGAATGGGGTTGAGGGGAGGGGTGATGTGCTGTTGCAGGACAGCTCTGAGGCAGTGCTGACGGAGAGAGGGGTTGAGCGTATGTATATGGTGATACTTGGAAATGAGCGTGGATTTCATGATGTGGCAAGAACAGCTGCCTGTGGAGAATTGTATAAGATAGAGATACCCGCGACTTGTCTGTGTGGAGTTTGCACATTCTCCCGTGTCTATGTCAGTTTCCTCCGGGTCCTCCGGTTTCTTCCCACAGACCAAAGATGTGCAGGCTAGGTGGATTGGCCATGCTAAATTGCCCATACTGTCCAGGTGAGGTGGATTGGCCGTGCTAAAATTTGCCTATTGTGTCCAGGGATGTGCAGGTTAGGTGGATTAGCCGTGGGGAAATGCAGGGTTACAGGGATAGGATGGGGGAGTGGGTCCAGGTGGGATGCTTTTCAGAAGGTTGGTGCAGACTCAATGGGCCAAATGGCCTTTTCCGCACTGTAAGGATTTTATGATTCTATGACTTTGTCAAACATTTGGAGAGAAAAAGAGTCACGATGAAGAGGAATAAGAATGATGAGAATGGAAATCCCATTGGAGAGAGAAGCAGGACTTCTTCATGGTGGAAGAGATGTGGCAGTGAGCTGAACACTAAAATAAAACAAACATCTACAGTTGGTAGGAACTGCAGATGCTGGAGAATCTGAGATAACAAGGTGTAGAGCTGGATGAACACAGCAGGCCAAGCAGCATCATAGGAGCAGGATGCTGCTTGGCTGGCTGTGTTCATCCGGCTCTACACCTTGTTATCTCAAACATCTACAGATGCTAGAAATCTTAAACAACAGCAGAAATAGCTGGCGGAATTCAGCAGTCAGCATCTTTGGGAAGAAAGCGTTAAAGTTTCGAGTCCGGTGATTTTCAGCTTTGTTGACAATTTCTGTTTTGGTCTTAAGAATGAATGTTTTGATTTCCAAAAATGTATCCATCAGAGATGAACTCTGCAGTTTCTTTCTCCTTTGCACAATATAACAATGCTGAGCTAGCCAGTTTTCAATCAGAAGGAGCAGACATTTGAAAAGTGATTGAAAATAGAATACCCATAGATTGGGCAGCCCCAGAGACTCTTTCCCAGGAGGATCATTACATCGACTGTCTATTTTGAATAGTGAGTCACAAGTACCATTTACTATGGGTAACTTGCACGCTTTAGCTAATTGCAACATGGCAAAATAAAATATGATCCTTTATTTTTAAAAATGCTTGTTTCATTGAATTGTTTTAAATAGTCTAAAACAGTACCAGCGTGCACTTTATCTTTTCCTTCAACACTTGAACAACAATGCAATTGCTCCACAGCCAAAGCTGGGGATACAGAGAGTAATGTATAAATTTGGCTCATGCACTGCTCCTTTTATTCAAAATCTGGCTGATAAGCCTTGTGTAGGTATGAGCAGATCCTGATTCACGCAAGTGAAGAAAAGATCTGGTTTCCAAGTCCATGTATTAATGTGTCAAACATGTTTCTGAAACCTTAATCTGTACCAAGTGCGAATATAAGATGATAATATCAACATTACTGTGTAATGCTTTATGAATAACCGTTTGAAACTGAATAAAAGAATTGTGTGGCTCATTCGCATGACATTCTTCCTTTATCAAAGTAAATATCTTTTATTTTCAACTATGATTTCCTGACAACACAATATGGGACAATGGCAGTTAGCACAGCTGTACTGTATGTAACATATTGGTGCCTTATCTCTCGTCGTCCGTACATCAGTTTATCTTTACGAGATACCTTCTCAATTGCTTAACAGACGACCTAAAGGTATAAAGAATCTGCTTCTCTTTATTTCAACACCTCTGCTCACCCCCACCTATCCCACTATTACTGCTCCTTTCAGAATTGCAGGCTTATAGTGGTAGGTTTCTACCTGTAGGTGGCAGTTCTACCAATTAAGGAATGGGTGCCATCATGGGGGCTTTATTTTGGTTCCACACCGATTTGGAGAAGCAAATCAGCAGAACCTACTCGGTTATGAACACAGTTAAGCCTTCTTAATGGAGGGAGGCACAGTGTTCTTAAGCTGTCCTTTCATCTGAGGAGATTCGGTACCATTTTATTTTAAATGAGATGTGTAGGCTTGAGGGTCTGTTTAAAAAGAGAGGGGGGTAGAGTACACACTTTGTAGAGCAGCTGTTAGTTTTGCGTATATTTATTGCTTTGGTCCATTTATATTTAATTGAGGCCCTCTTGCAAATCTATTTTATCTTGAAAGAAATTGGATTCTAATCAAAAGACGTTTAAATTTCAACACATCACCAAGAAACAAATACCACTTTGCCCAGGGGAATTACAGTTACCTGTCTTCATAACAAAAAGTTGAAGTGACTTATTTTTCCATCATCTTTTCATGCAATTTCCAAACTTCTTTAAAAATATTTTTCATTTTGTTGGCTCAGGCTTCTTTGCTCCCTCTCACTCCTGCTGAATCAAAGTCAGTGGCTCTTTTGACAACAGGTTGAGTGCAATTCAAGCAGAAAAATAATAACACACTCAAACCAGTCCCAGGTCCTTTGAAGTTCCAGCTCAGCAGTCGATGGTGGAGCACATTGAAAGCAACCTGTCACTCCCACCAGTTCAGTACAGATGAGCTGTCATGATTGAATAAAATGGATGTGTAATTCAGATTCCTGCTCATTTTATTTTTAGGTGAGGCCAATGATAAAAATGTACAAGTGGTGGAACTGCCAATAGTCGACAGCCTGCACCCGCGACCACCATATCTACCCTTGGCTATTCCCGAAGACCTGGCAGGTCGACTAACTCACCTCCATGGAGATCCGTCGGTCTGGTGGGTTTCACAGTTCGTCAAATATTTGATACGTCCGCAAGCTTGGTTGGAGAAGGAAATTGAAGAGGCAACGAGAAAGCTTGGCTTCAGGCATCCAATTATTGGGTTTGTATATTTCCACTTCCATAAGCACAATGTGCAATACTGGCAACCTCTTAAAAGAGCAAAATTATAAAAGAATTATTTATGAGATTCTAAATCACATCTGGGTGAGGTGACATGACGTGAGTGTGCGACACACACACACACACACACACACACACACACACACACACACACACACACAGTCAGTCCCCTGAGCAAAAGTCACTTAGTGCAGAATTTGACATTCTGTCTGAATGAGGGCAAAAGAAAAAGACTTTGTCAGCATGTGTCCCTTTTTTAGCAGTACTCAAAACCCATTATAATCCAACTTTTGGTTATTCTATATCTGGTTTTTGATTAAATTGCATTGCAAAATGTGTCAATTCACAAAGGACAGCTTTCCTGTTTGTAAGATCCTCTTTAAAGTCCAGTGCGTGACAATGCCTCCTGATCTTTCCATCAGAGTCAGCACCATTATTTGCCTGTTGAAATATCTTGGAATGTTTTCTACATTAAAGTCACCATGCAAAATTCGAGTGGTTAGATACAGCTCAGTAATATAACAAAACTTAGCTTTTTATGGGAAGTGAAACAAGGCCAAGTGTTTATTTATAATTTGTACAATTGAAATACAATACATATATAAGGTATTTTAAGTAGCTATTAATATTTCAGATTTTCATCAGCTTCACTGGGCAGCCCACATTCATTCTAAATTCAGTGCAAACTGAAAACTTCGGTACGTATAAATAAAGCAATCTGGCTGCAGCACAATGTGCCCTCTTCCACTTGGCTGAACAACAGCCAATATTACCTTGCAAACATTTCTGTGTTTGCATTTGACGTTTCTTTTTATTTTGAAAAGTATAAAAACAAATCTGTACAAGGATTGGAAATTTACCTCCTTCAATGCTATTCCGAATCTGCCAGAGTCCAGACTTTGAATTTTAATACCAATAGCTTCCCAGCTACAGAATTCAAATTAATTCTAACCTTCGCTTCAAAGGCTACTTGTTCAAAATAAAATCTACAAATACGCAGTGATCGGTGCACACAAATATTTGTGTGGTGCTGGAACTACAAGGTGCTACATGGATACTGGCTGCTTGAAGGATATAATTTGACTTTGCTCATCCAAAGATTATGTTGAAATTAATGATTCTGCACCCTAAATTTAAAATGTTTTAAATTTCGAATGTTTCGGGATTATTCTGCAAGGAATTCTGTGCAGAATGAAGTTCTGATGAACTTTGATTATTTTCTTCACAAATGCTGCCAGACCTGCTGAGCTTATCCAGCAACCTCTGTTTTTGTGCATGTGCTCATCTCAGCCTGGTTTTAAAGATTGCTGCTGCAGTGCGCCTCACTGTCTCTTGGGTTGCGGATATAAAGATGGAACATTTCCCGGTCCTGACCACTGACTCGTGACCCCTGCTGAAAGTGTGCCTGTGTGTGTGTGTGAATAAGTGAGAGGAGGTAAGAGAGAGAGAGACTGGAATGTGAGATTCAAAGTATAATCAGGTTTGGCTTGTGAGGCTGTGATGTCCCCTCTGGTGAATTGCCTGCAAGTGTTCACTGTCAGGACTACACATATATCAGAGATACTTGAATGATGTACCACATGGTGCCCGTTGCTATGGAACCACACCACTGAGAAAGAGTATGGGGTTTGGAGAGAACAGCAAGGGGGAAAATAACAGTTTCTGTTTAAATGTTGCTCATTGTGCACATTTCTGTAGTTATAGTCGAGCTGTTTGCTTTTGCTATCTTGATTTTTCAAAACTGACAACAATGCCAATGTATATATTTCTTTTTGATTTTTTTTGATCACTCTACCAGCCTTATTCTCTCTGGCTAGCAGGGTCTTTCACCTCACTGTACAATTTATGGGAGTCGGACATGCCAAGATTCATAAACATGACTTGAAGATATTGTTTGATTGGCATTAACATCTTCATCTGTCATTTAAAATCTCTACATTTGAATATTTATCAAGTATTTTTACTTGTTCCCAAGTGTTCTGAGTGATGGAATAGTTTACTGTTAACACTGGCCACTTGACGTTTACATCAAAAGGCTTTAGCTTTTCTCTCTCCCTCGCCCTAGCCAACTTGATGTTTCAGGCTTTGAATATATTGATATATATTGAACTCATGAAGATTGTAGAATAGTACAGCACAGACGGAAGCCAGTTAGTCAGTCATGCTGACAGCAGCTCATTGGAAGAGCTATCTAATTAGGAACACACCACTGTTCTTTTGCCAGAACACTGAGTCATTTTCCTTTTCAATAAATCCCTTGAATTCAAACAAGATTATACATCAATGAGAAACAGGGTTGAGACCTTTCGGGTACTTCCTTGTGAGGAGGCTCTGTCATCTGAGTCCTTCAAAGACTGCTGGGATAGACACAGGGGCTCACCATAGACTTGCTCAAATTGGATTCAAGCCAGGGGTGGCAGAAGGACAATGCAAAATTTTTGCAGTGATGGGTTGTGTAAAGAATTAAGGGCTTGTCAAAGGGATGGCTGGCTGACAAGAAAGGGGTAACGGAAAGGCTCAAGAGAGGCAGAGGAGGAAATAAAATGAATTGAAGTATTGAGTTTGGGTCTGGAATTGCAATCAAAAATGAATTAACTTTATTGTCACATGTACTCAAAATGAGTACGGTGAAAAGTTTACTGTAACTGCATTACAGCACCATCTTAGGTACAGAGATAGCTAAGTACAGATACTTGAGATCAAATTCTTAGGAAAGAAAAAAAAATTAGAAAAGTAAAGAAATAAATAGTCTAACATTATAGTGCAAAGGAATAAATTATAAAAATAAAGAAGTAAAAAGTTCAGAATATCAGTATTTCCGAACCAGTCTGTGCCAGCACCTAGATTCAAGGGAGACCCGCCCTCTGCCTGTGCTGGACCCACCAACGTAGGAGCCACCCCGTCCATTTGTTATTGGGCCTACTTCACTGACACCACTGAACCCACACTCAACCCGCAACCAAGAGTCCCTGGCTCCCCTGACAGGCCAGACTGACACCAAGCCACAAGGCACGATGCAGCTGTCTCTCTGCCGGCGTTGCCATCTTGAAGAGTCCTCTGGTACCAGTGCCGCTGTCCCCAATCGCTGGAGGAGCTTTGCTGCCGCAGGTCCTGAACACTGGGAGACAAATAGAGTCAAAAGTCTGCCAGGGACTAGGTGAAATTCATTGCTACCATACAAGAGATTTTTTTTTCAAATCATACCAAGTTTAAGTCTGATAACCCATGATGGGAAGTGGGAGATTTGTCACCACTGTGAAACCAGCTTAGAGCATTCACAAGCAAAGGTTCACGTTTGTGATTGGTTTGAAACAGACCTACGAGCTTTTTAAGGGCCAGCAGTTGAGGTTGCCCAATGAGTGGTTGAGAGTTGTCTATGAACCAACAGACATTGAGCCTGGTCGAGTGAAACTGGGCGGTGATTTAAGGGGTTACAACTGTCTATCAGTGAATCTGCTGGGGCCAGCAGAAGAGGGAGGTTAATGACAGTGAACTGAAGAGCAGAGAGCCAAGGGAGTGGAAAGGGGCAGTTCACCAACTCAGTACCAATGAAGGAATGGGTTCAGAGGAAACAGGGCATCAAGGATCAAACACGATAAGAAGCAGCAAAGGCAATCTTCGGCATTTATCGAACTGCGTTCTGCAAAGGGTGACAGAGAAGTTCTGAGGAGGAGTGGAGCAAAATGTAATTAGAAGCTGCAGGAAGAAGCAAAGCAGCAAGCGATCATTCAACAACATTCAGAGCAGTTCAGGGTCCAACAGAAATGGCTCACAGTGTTAGATGAGATTCTTGTGGGGCTAAAGTTGGCAGCGTTGGCCTTATTCGCTTTCTTTGGGAATTAAAATAATTTGGAAGAGTTCTTGACAGTATAAAATGTAGATTGTTTATTGGAGGTAGCTCCATCTAAGAATTACATGTCTGTCTTGCAAAGTAGATTCTTGTTTTGAATATCCAGTCACGTCACTAGCATAAACCACCTAAATCTTCCTTTCACCTAAGCATCAGGGTCCTTTTTTTTTTAAATCAAAAATTTCCTCCTTTATGATCAATGCTGTATCTAAATTATTTGAGCAGTCTGTTTCATTTATAACTTTTAATGTTATGGTTTTGCTCAAAGTTTCCTTAGTTTCCAAAGATATCTCCATAGCTTTTTTTCTGATGGTTTCATTTAGATCATACCTGCTGGCTATCATCTCACAGATCATTGCGGATGTTCAGATTCTGGTCAAAGAACCTCTCAATTTGAAATTTTAATTTTTTTTAAAGCAGTCGTGTTTTTATTCTTCACCCCTAAGAACAATACTAGTTTAGTACATTTGATATGTAGTATCTACTAGTGATACGACACTAGTGATACGAGTGATACGAGTGAAATTCCATATGGAATTTCTCATTGTTAAGTCACCTGCTCGGGTGATAATTAAGTTTTGATGCTTTGCTCGAAAATTGCACTGTTCCCTCTTCGATATTAACAGTGAGCCTCACAGGCCTTTAGCTGGAGAAATATGCTGGTCACAGCTGCCATGTTAGAGTCACTTAAATCCATGATCTTTCTCCTTGACATTTTTAAGAATCCAATTCAGCTCATTGATTGTGTGAGCTACGTATTCATAAATTATCTAAGGGCCAGTATCATTGAAGCTCCTTTGCTGCATGCTTAAAAGGTTTTTATATTCCTTTAGCTCTTCCATCTTTAGAACATAAGTTAGACTTGTGAACTTTGAGTACTTTCTAATAGCAACCGTCAGCTTCTTAAAGCAGAAAATCAAACTGGACTTGCAACTTGGGGAAAGCTGATCATTTCACATCTTTGTTCCCGCCAGCATTCATGTGCGTCGCACGGACAAAGTTGGAACCGAGGCAGCCTATCATCCTATTGAAGAATACATGGTACACGTGGAGGAGCACTACAAATTTCTCGCTCGCAAGACGGAGATTGATAAAAAACGAGTTTACCTCGCCACAGATGACCCAGCACTGCTACAGGAAGCTAAGTCAAAGTAAGCAGCTTTAAGGGCTTGTGTGTTACTCCGTAGGGTTTCCAGAAATGGTGGAGAGCTGTAAGAGGATGGGAGCAATATAAAATGACTGCTTCTCTTTGCTTTGTGACAGCGACATTATGCAACTTGTGCATAAAGCACATTTTGAGGGAAAGTATTTTCACTCACTGTAATCTCAAATGCATCTGAGAAAGAAGTCAGAATAGCAGAAAATAACTTTTTGATGGGCCTGTTGATTCTATCAATGGTGCCCATGTGCATATATCAATTACACAGAGCAGGAATCAGAAATTTAATCAGAATCTCTTTTGCTCTTAATCTCATACTGGAATTACTCAAAAAGAATAATTATCTTTACCTCTTTCCCATTTTGATTAGTCCCCTGTGTCCTCCATCAACCAACTTTGCCCAGGTTTGTTATTGTGATTGGGGAAATGGAATGAAGAGAAGAAAAATGGGTTACAGGCATAATAATAGTGTGAGAGAATGTCTAGGGTCCATAGTTTGGGCAGAATAGGGAAGGTTTGCAGCATGAGTTACTGGAAAGATTAATAAAGTACAAGATGATTAGAGGTGGATTAAAAAGTGAGTTAGTGGTACGATCTATAATGTTGTGAAAGGGGAATTACCAGGTGCATAAGTTTAAAAGGACATGCATTGTGCCATGTAAAGTGGCACAAAAATTTTCAAATTTGTTACCTGGGGCTGCCCCCGCCTGGCAGAAACTGAGCGGAAATGCTTCAAAAACTGTGAAGCACACGCTACTGCCCTGTTTCACCCAAGCAGGTGCATGGGAATGCCACTAACTTCAGGTCCTCCTCTAAGTCACGTATCATCCTAATTTGGAAAGATATCACTGCAACTTCACTGTCACTGGCTGAAAGTCTAGAATTCCTTTCCTCATAGCACCTCGAATGACCTTGCACCAAATAGACTTGCAGTGGTCCGGGAAGACTGCTCATCATCTCCTCGAGTGCAACTAGGGATGGGCTACAAATGCTGGCATACCCAGTAATGTCTACTTCCCATGAAAGAGTTTTTGTTAAAAGCCACCACAATGTTCCCCTTTATCCCCCCACTAGGTACAACCAGGCCCATTCACCATATCCCGTTTAAAATATAAATATGGACCTTGTGATCTACTTGAGGATCCTAATTGCCATTCTAGGACTGAACTAGCCAAGGATTTTAAGCATCTTTACTAGGGCTCAGGGATGGGAAGATCTCAGAAAGGGTAAGTTTCATGTTTTTATCTATGAAGGTCATTAGAACAGGAACATAAGCTGCTGCCAGCCTGGAACAGTCCCTCTGTTTCCGCCCAATCTCATGACCTGTTATTTCTGGACCAAAGCTGTTGAACACCCTTGGGATGCCAGTTTGATGAAGGAGCTCAAAATGGTTGAGCCAAGGACACTAATCCTGAAGCACTCCTGCATTGATGTGCAGGGATTGAGATGACTGACCTCCAACAACTGCAATCATCATCTTTTGTGTGAAGTATGACTTCAGAGAAGAGTGATTGAATGCTTATAGCTTTGCCTTGGCTTTTTGTGCATTGCTGCTTCTTTTGGACCTTAGCAGTTCCATTTTGCCTTTGAGTTGAGTAAAGCCAGGCAGCTTGCCTTGCCTGTCGGCACTGAACAGTCAAGGGAAGACATACCTTCCACCAAATGGCCATGTCTAAAAGTCTGAAAGGAGCAGTCCTTACGGTTTATGGTTAGCAAGGGCTGCCACTGCACTTATTCAAGGGCATTGTCTGGCTTCACTCCCATAAGTTGACCACAATTAGTTGACTGCTTCACGTGACCAGGTTAATCCATGTCCTTGCAGTCTGGGAAGTTGGTAGCAGTCACTCCAGCAGGTCATGTCCAACCAGCCTGTGCATTACCACGGATCCAGTCGGGGAGCTGCAAAGAAATCAGTCAAGGGCCTGGTCCAAGTTCAGTCGAATAACGTTTCACAAGTGAGTGAGCTGAAGCTCGGAAGTCAGGCGATGTTAGTAGGTTTGGGGGGGATAGGTTGGACGAGAGCCAGTGAGGGGAGATGCTAAATGGAATATGGATAGTGATGGACGAGGAGTGTTGGTGGGAGGTGGGTGCAGTTGCAGAGTTGCAGGAGTGTGAAATGGCAGAGAGAAGGCAGGACACTTAGCCTTGCTGAGCGCAGAAGGTTGTTAACCTTCTTGCAGCATGGCTGGACCGAGGATATCGCACTGTCCTGGGTGGCTGCTTCAAACCAGGCTGGTGTTGTGGTCTCCTCTGCCAGCCCTGTGCATTTCACCCTGTCCATTCAGGACCTTCAGATCCTTGTCTGGGAAGTGAGGTGCCAGTGTGCCTCTCTGAGCAGTGTCATTTTGAATGGCACAGCAACACACATATAGGGCAGTTCCTGGCTGGCAGTGGTTAAAATGATTTAAATATGGTGCCAGCAGCATAAATGTCTGCATGACCCATCACTGACAAGTACTCCCCACCCCTGCTGACCCCAAGGTTATATGGAAGCGGCACTGAGGATGCAGCGTGCACATTTAATAAGGTGAATAGCGCAGAATTGCATGAGATGAGTTGCCAGAGCTGGTGGAGGGAAACACTCCAAGGAACTCCCTGAAATTGACACTTGGCCAAAATATGAGAAGATACAACCTAATATTCCCTTTGTAACGGAAAATTCCATGATAGATGTTATATAAAATGAAAAGAAAATTGCCCCCATGTAATCATTTAACATACCCACTAGGGTGCTGCAAAATGTGTTTGTAACAAATTAACTACTGTATCTTTAAAATATACTGTTGCTGTTATTAGTAAATGGACACATTGCTAAAGAATTTAATTGTTTGCCGTTCAACTGTATTCACAAGCAGGTGAAACACGCAGTGACTGTTACAAGCAATTCAGCAGCCTCTAATCATTAAAGTTCTGCATGCAGAGAGAACAGTTTTGTTTTAAAGAAGTGCAGCACCTTATGGAGCGGCTCTCAATTAGTAACCACAGAAAGAGATGAAGCAAAAAGAAATGGTTGGGCACAGGCAGTCTGTAATGTCAAGAGACACAAAACGCAGAGGTGGGGAGACAAAATGTTGGAGAAGCTGAGAGCAGAGAAACAAGATAAATGAAGGTAAGATGAGCAAGAGAGAATAAAACAAGAGCCAGAAGAGGAAGGGTCAAAGGGAGTGACTTTGAGGGGACAGGAATGTGCAGTTGATTTTGTACATAATATCATGAGTTTGGATTCATTTCATTTTCCATTTTCACGTATACAAAAAGAACCCATAGGAAAAATGATAGAATGTGTTTCTAAATTTGGTGCCATAACACTGCGTATCCAATAATAGTGGAGAACTTTGATTATAGTATGGAGGTGCCAAATAATACTAATAGTGACAGAAATGGATAATGATACATTGCAGAAGGTTAAATCCAGGTTTATGTTGTCACAGCTTTGTAAAGTCAGCATGTATTTATTATGTTCACAGTTGCTTGTTAAGTTTTAGAATATTTCAGCTGTACAGAATCCTCATTCCCAGGAACCCAAACATTTAATTTCCCACAGCTCACTGGCATCATCAATTCACGCAGGAAATTGCTTTAAGAGAAAAAAGCTTCAAAGTCTTAAATTTAAAGTTCTTAATGAAGTAGAACTATTCAGATCAAGGTTACAGGAGTATTTCTGGTTAGCAGCTCCACAGAAGGACTTAACTGACAGCTTCCTTCAGTCAAGCTGGCTGTCTTTAATTGTGACCCTTTTCACTTCCAGGCACCCATTACTGGACCAATGTGATACTCTCAGTAAGAATGAGAGATTTTGAAGAAACCGACAGTGAATTCATTGCATGACTTTCTGTGACCATCTTACACTTCACCGTTGATTGACTTGTGTTCAGTTAGCTGTGTGTTTTGTATCCAACACTGCCCTGTTGTTGGTATAAATCCCACTGAACTCACTGAGATCACAACGTTGACAGTAACAGTGCAATGATGCTTTGCCTACTGAGAACATGTGTATCGCTGTATGTATCCTGATGACTCTAGTTTTTTGATCCATCGATGAACTGCTATTTCTTCAGGATAGTTATGTTGTTCTAAAAACGTAAGTTAGCAGCTGTTTTTTTTTTCTTGCCAAAATTAGAAAAGAGCAATCATCAAATATTTAGCAAATGTGCGATACCTGCTGAAATGGATTGCCAATCATCCAGTTCTCCCGAATCAGTGTATGAACATGTATAAATGATGGTTCCTGCAATGGAATACAGGACACATGCACTTTCGCATAAAGTGATGCTTTTTCACTTGGGCTTGTGAATTGTGTTTGAAGTCCTGTAAACACCTACCTCTTATTTAATGTTTTGTCTCTTTCTTCACCTCATCCACACTCCAGATACCCAGATTATGAATTCATCAGTGATAACTCTATCTCGTGGTCAGCGGGCCTGCATAACCGATACACAGAGAATTCACTGCGAGGCGTGATTCTGGACATCCATTTTCTCTCTCAGGCAGACTTCTTAGTCTGTACCTTCTCATCACAGGTATGATAACTGAATAAACAAATAAGGGTAGCAACAACAATGAACAGTGTCATGCATGTTGTCTCTATATAAACTAAGACAGTTGATATGCTTGATAATTTCAACACTTAAGAAACATGACGAAGCAGGGAAGAGATCAATGAAGCAAGGGAGAGCTTAATTTATGACATTGTAGTTTTCTTCATTACGTGGGCTGGATCCTGGTTAGGATCTTGCATGGACAATATTGGCATTCTTCTGCATTGGGAAGGCAAAATATGTACTTCTCGATAAACATGACTAGACTTTTCTTTATTGCCTGAGGGTACAAGAGGGACTTTCTAGGATATTCTTTCCTTATTAGGCACAGATTTTCCTCTTTTTCACCTTTTCCAAGATATTCCTAAACTACAGAGGTAGAAGGAATGCTGGTCATATTTGGTTGTTTTGTTCCTATAATCACATTTCTTTTCCATTTAGGTCATAATAGGGAAGTGTTAATAGGTAGATGATCAACATGCTGAATGTGTCATGTTGCGGCCAGTGAGCCCTAGACTGGGACTTGAAAACACGTACAAATTGATTCAAGAATAGCTTCTTCCCCGCTATTATCAGACTTTTGAACGGACCTCTCAAATGTTAATTCTGATCTCTCTGCACATTCTCTGCAGCTGTAAAACTGTATTCTGTACTCTGTTCTGCTACCCTGATGGACTTTGTATGGTACAATCTGCCTATGTAGCATGCAAAACAACACCTTTCACTGTACCTTGGTGCATTTGACAACAGTAAATCAATCATTCCCGAGAAGAGCTCCTCCCATGTTGGCCGTGGTGACAGAAGAGGAGGAAATGTCTGGTCATAATGCATTAGTCACCACAGACATGGGCCCCACTGGACCACGTAGGGTCCCATTTTCCCCTCACTGGAGACGGCGAGACAGGTGACGAGCAGAGAAAGTAAGGGTGCTACTTGGCCCTGAAGGGTAACTCACCTATTTCTAACCCCCTCAGCAATTGAGTGATGAACAAAAAAAAAATGTCAGAGTAAACTTTCTTGACTCTCCTGCAATTAAGGCGCTTAAATTTCCAATTAATTACCACTTAAGAGCTTTAACTTACCCCATCCTTGATCACCTGCCTTCCCCCTGGACGAGAGAAGTGGCAAGACCATGACAACCTGCCTGCTGTATTTATAGGGGTGGGAGATGCTCTAATTTCCTCAGTGTGGGAGTTGTTGGAGGCACAGATGGGTATAAGGGGGTGGCCACTAGGTGCCACGTCCCCTGAGAAATGGTTCCCGATTGGTGACCTAACGGACCCAGAAAACAACAGATTCGGATTGGCTGGCAGCTTCTGGCAATTGGCTGGCAGCTTCTGGCAAATGGCTAGCCAGTGTTGAGGCCTGTGGTAGGATGAGATACTTGCCTTCACTCTCCCTCTCAACTGTTAAAGAGCTGATTGGCAGGTGATTAAGGGAGTTACCCCACCAGTGAAGACAGTGTGTTCGTCATCACCCGACCATGCTCATCCCCCACGCTTGGAGAAAATATCAGAAAATTGTGTCTCTGGTCTTTTCTTTGTCATATTTGCACAAAAGCAAGAAGATCAGAAACATTTTGAAAAACGCCAACTAGTCATCACACAATAGAAGACAGAGACGCACCTCCTGTGCCCTTATGGAGGGGGAGGGGTTTTTGATGCGTTTGACAAAATTTCAACTATGGATTTCTATGCTTTACTTCTGAAAAGTCTGGATCCTGTGTACTCAAGCCAAAACTGCTTCATTTAATTGAAGGGTCAAGGCCCGAAACGTCAGCCTCTCTGCTCCTATGATGCTGCTTGGCCTGCTGTGTTCATCCAGCCCTGCACCTTGTTGTCTCGGATTCTCCAGCATCTGCAGTTCCTACTATCTCTCATTTAATTGTCAATCTGCTTCAAGCTAGAATGTATAGACCTAGACCAGAAGTAATTGCACACTGTTTTTGTGCTGTATATGTTAAGGTGAAAGTGGATTATTGTTGAAATGAAGATTTTGTGCTCTTGCTGTAATTTAAACTGATGCCCTGAAGTGGCCCATACCAACAACCAGTCGATCATGGGTAACCTAGCAGCTCAACTGTGTTTATTATTGATGCCAAGGTCACCTGAAGAATTATTTCATTATAGCCATTGATAGTTTGTTAATTTTGATTTTGTAAATTACACACTTGAAGCTGTAATTGCTGATGATTAAATCAGATTACTGTGGTGTAACTGGCAGTTAGATTCATGAGTATGTGTTAATTTACTCCAGGGAGAGTCATGTGAAAATGAGAGGTAGAATTGTTTCTCGGCATTAACTGCTGCATTTTGGAAGTAAAGTGTGCAGTAGAAAAACAATGCTATCTTCAATTATTCTGTGCAACATTCTGTCTGTTGAGTCTCAGCTTCCCTGGGGCGCCTGATTTCCTGTTTTCTGAGCATGAATCACCTCAGGTATTAATGGCCCATAATCACAAATCAGGCATTTCTACCGAACAATGACAACCAGTCAGTCATCACAGGACAATTAAGTACATGAGGTGCTAAGTGAACAGTATCAATTGTAGCGAGTGCCTCGCTGGCACTAATTGGTTGAGTGCAACTTTGGAACTTGCTCCTTATTTCAGAAATCAAGCCGTCATTGTTTAAAGTAAAAATATCCTCATTTCCCCTGTCGTAATAGCCATTTCGCTTAATTCCCAACCCACAGGCTTCTTTAGATTTCTCTGGTTAGGGAGCTGTTCGTTTGTTCATCTTAAACCTTTTATCATAACCTTGGAGATAACGCTGACCAAGGCCTTTTTTCTCTTTTTCAGCATTGGTTGGGAGGGCTTGCCAATCTAGGGGTATTCAGTAGTGGCTGAGAACTGTTCTGAATTTAAACGTATCAGGCTTCAGCACATTGTTCTCTGGAGGGAATATGGAGAGGGGACGTTGACGCCCACAAATAATATATCTAGGTAATAAGGGAATGAAAAACCGTATGCTGTACTCACTCACTATCCCTCACTGCCAACTGTAATACATGCAGTTTCTGTTGCGCCTTTAATCTTCGCCCCAACGTAATAGTCTGCTGCCAACAGAGAGGGCTTGGGATATCTTTCATCCTTGTTCCTGACTATTATTTGACATGATTTTCATTTTGCAGAATGTAGTTGGACCACAAAATAAACACTTCTGCCATGGTAATGTGATGTTGGATGAGAAATTCTCTCACATGACATAAAATATTGAGCTAGACATATACAATTCATGAATGCAGCAATCCCTCCTTGCATACAATATCAGTAATTCTAATGAAGCTCTGTTGGTATTCCCAGCAGTACACTGGTGCCATCATGCTACTGTCAAGCAGTGCTGAAGGGCGCTATCAAGGACATGGGGTTTACTTACTAAGGCAACTCTGAGGTGGAAGGGGCTCTGAGATGTGAGGGAGGAAACGTAGACTTATTCCTCTCCAGATATGCAGAGGCAAGTAAATCAGGAAACAATGAATGGAGCCTAAGATAACAGAATTCCTCTGACATATTCAAGCTGACGAAATGTTCCTTTCTATTATTGTGCATGGGGATCTCAGCCTGTGGCAAATCATGGCTGTGTGCTGAAACATCTAGAATCTGGCTTTGATTCTGAATAGTGAAAAAGCCTAAGGTGCTGAGGTGATGCATGAAAGGTCGTTTTTATTTAGTGTTGCTTTCCCAGGATCCCAATATGAATATAGAATAGAAGTTCTCTTCTTCAATATGCCCTGGTATCGTTAGTCAAAATTAACAATCAGGTTTTGATTGTGGCAAAAAGTGCGTCTTCCATAAGTTCTTTGTCAGACCTGTCAAAAGCTCGAAGGAAAACTGAATGCTTAGGTCAGTAATTTTGCTACTAAAACTCTCTGCGCGTGTGTCCCAACAGAAGAACATCAGTGGCCTTTGAATGAAAAATGTACACAAGAACCCCAATAAGAGAGATTTGAAGATACCGTTCTCAAAGATGCAATAGAGTAAACTGGCAATGCACTAATGCTTATAATCTATTCACTGTGCAGGCATATAGATAGATATGCAGAGCATGTAATTTGATAGTCTACTGATATCAAGAACTGTCACAATCTTTAATTATGTTTGAAGTTTCTCAAATTGCAAATTTGAAGTGACCGATTAAACGAAATTCAGCAAGAATTCAGAGTGAATTAACAAAAATATGCAAGGGGAAATGTTGCAGAGCAGTTACTTGCTGTCAGTTACACTGCTGTGAATTTCACTGGTGCATGACATTTGCTGCTTTTCAAGTACATTTATGCCAATTCTTATTTGAAGAAACCTGGAAAAAACTCACATTATTTTCTTCTAACATACAACTATCTGAAAGGATTGAAATATCACGCCAGTATTGCTGTAAGGTCTGAGAAAATATTTGAATCCAAAATGTGCACCCTCAATAGGAGTGTCTTGGGAAACACAGAAGAAACGTGCACCGACTCCTTCAAGAAAGTGTTAAGGATTTCTGTTCGGGGGAGATGTAAACAATAGAAAGAACCAGGGAATGGAGCCATTGATTAGTGCTTTCAAAGGATCTGCCCAAGCCTAGTTAATCCAATGGCCTTTTGATACTATTTCAAATGAGGCTGCAGGAGTACACAATCCCTCTCTAGTCCCGTGATCATTGCTGGTGTCAGCATACATTTAAATGCTTTAACCAGCTATCCATGTAGTCAAGTTACGTACTATTTCTATATGCCAGCTTTCTTCAATCAATAACGAAACACTGATTTATTATAAAACAAGACTTATTTACTGATGATGCAGTATTTACCCTTCTAAATAACCCAATGCAGACATGCCAATTCAAGAAAAGAGAAAAAAGAAATTTTCCATGTGGGGGTTAATTTTGGGTTGGTGGGGGGTAGCTTCAGCCAATAACTGTTGGATGTTGAAGTCAAAAAAAGGACAAGCACGTGTAAATAGGTGGCACTGTGTCAATAAATAGAGTTGGACTGTGACCTTT